TTGATGCATTGAAGTATTATTCTATTAAACTCAGGCTCACTGACTTGGTTGATGCACGTCATCGATTCCAATTGCGTGGATCGATGCTCGTGATATCAATCACTGGATTGTCTGGTCCAGACTCGATTATTTACAGACCGCCGTCATATAGCTGGAATATTGCTGAGTGCGGCGTTAAACAACAAAACAACCAACCAACCAATCAATTTGATTATGCTGTGGATTACACAGATGACTTCCTATTCACACGCAACAGTGAAATTTAAAAAAAGTTATAAATGGCAAGTAATACAAAAAATACTAAACAAGCTCCAATACCAGTTTCAGACACCATCAGACCCCAGAACTATTCACTCGTTTCATAACACTGGTATTACACGGGAGCTTGCATGTTTAGTATTATATGTCTACAATGAACAACCATGAGCTTTAGAAATTGACGGAAACACCTAAATGTGCAAGTTTGTATCCATTTGTTGAATAATGATTACACATGTATATGAAAATTGACATGTCTTCATAAAAGATGGAGGTTTTATCTATTAGTGGTAAACTAAAAAGTCCAATGCTATCAACAAATAGCCCTGAGGAGATCCAGGTAAGACAAGGTCCCCCATACTGGTCGCTAGAGGCAACTTAATGGATCGGGCAGTCAGACTTGGTGACTTTGTTGATTGCATGTCATTGTACCCCGAGGGCATGGATCGTTGCTCATATTATCACTCACTGGTCCAGATTACATCATACATCCTAACAGTACCGTATATGACTGTAGATAAGCTGATCTCATAGTTAAGGCGAGGCATAAACTTGATCCTTGAAATCTGTATCAAACTGAAGTCTTTGAATGGCAATCTCTTCCTCATGTATCAAAATGCGGGTCCGCCGATAGTTTGGTACATAAGCCGGACCACCAACCTACCTACTGTACATCTTCTCGTCATAATCAATAGAATATCAACAAATCTGTAGTGAATTATGCAAGTCCTGTTGTTACACTGTCTAGTAATACAAAGTGTTCATTGTATATCTGGACTTACGTTTGCAATAAATTTTATTAAATTATTTAAAATTTCATTCTGTAACGTTTACATTAATTTTGTTGAAATCGTGTTTCCCTCCAATACTTTCGTTTACCTCATTCCATAGGGTCCGCTTCATGACATACTGCGACAATACTAATATTATTCACAGCTTACAGGAACATATCACCGCTATTGATGCCTTGAACTTAGATTTTTTTGTTTGTTTGTTATGTTTAACGCCACACTCAGCAAGATTCCAGCTATATGATGGCGGTCTGTAAATAATCGAGTCTGAACCAGACAACCCAGTGATTGGTATCATGAGCATCGATCCACGCAATTGGGATCAATGACATGCATCAACCAAGTCAGATAGCCTGACCATCCGATCCCGTTAGTCATTTCTTAAGACAAGCATAGTCACCTTTTACAGTAAGCATGGGTTGCTGAAGACATATTCTACCCCGGATCTTCACGGGTCCTTGAATTTAGAGATGATCAGGACCCAGGGTTATGTTTCACAAAGTGAATGTAGTTGTATACCTGTCATAATTTGATGTTAGAGTACAGGAGTTATGACAGACGTCACACTAAAATCGATTTGTAAAACGGGGCCCCGGATACCCTTATCATTGAACAGTGGTGACCAGTTTCCCTGTCTGCTCCCAAATAGATCCTACTTTTGTTTTCAATTCTCGGTGCTTAATAAATGTGTCTTGCAGTGACCCACATATGTTTGTATTCATACAGTAGATCATACAAGATTTTAACATTTTTGATAGCACTTATCATATGAAGAGAACCTGGATTCTTTTGACAAGAAACAGCATACATCCTTACAAAGCCATTATGATGTTCACATGGTTATTATCAGCAATTCTAAAAGGAAATGTAAAAAAATATCAAAATAATGAATCTCTTAAAGATAATTTCCTTGAATTCAAAGGGGATTATAAAAAATATCTGTAAAGGTTGCTAAACATGATAAACAAATTGGTTTCTCTGACGTAAATGCCTCATCACCAAAGGCTTAGTCATGTTTTACAATCACAAGAAACAGGCTATATTGGCAGTGATAAAATTGTATTTATTCCCAGAGACAATAAAACAAAAAGAAACTCCTTGCATTTTCATTTCCACTGAGTTTAACAACTCTAAAAGATCATTTTGTAGATGAGGTGAGGTGAAATGAGTTTTAATGTTGCATTGAAGCTTTTTGACTTACTTTGTGACATCCATGCTTGATTTCATATCATTGATGATTTCATTTCCTCTACAATGATCTGTGTGAGATTTTTGACAGACCCACACCAGAAAAATTAAATGGTGTCAAAGCACTTCTATAAATTGATAAAATAATATTCATATCATGAACTTTGAACATATGCACAATAACTAATCTCTATGCAGCAACAGACAAAATATTTCCGAAATATCAATAGGGTCTGTTGTACGAAGCGATCTTAGGGATAAGATGATCTGTAACTCCCATACCTTCACATAGACTTACGACAGTCGTAGTGCTAAGACTAGACTTGTGCAACGGCAACAAGATCACTAATTATCTTGAACTTAGATTGGTATTTCCATCTCATCAGCCATACAGTTTGTTTGTTTGTTGTTTAATGCCACACTCAGCAATATTCCAGCTATATGATGGCAGTCTGTAAATAATCGAGTCTGGACCAGACAATCCAGTGATTAATATCATGAACATCAATCCACGCATTTGGGATCGATGACATGCATCAACCAAGTCAGCGAGCCTGACCACCTGATCCCGTTAGTCGCCTCTTACGACAAGCATCGTCGCCTTTTACGGCAAGCATGGGTTGCTGAAGACCTATTCTACCCCGGATCTTCACAGGTCCAGTCATACAGTGATGCAAAGTCAAAGAGTGATGCAAAAATCAAACAAACATCAATCAAACTATTACATCCTAATAAGATACAATTCTGTGACATCCCACACAAGGAAACAGATCTTAGTGTTATTTTTGTCCATTGTATGAGGACTTCCCATTGTGATATTCCAAGCTACATTGTGTCCTACTGAGTGGGAGGTTCACACAGCAATCAACGACACTATCTGGTATGTGTATGCACTGGGCAGTTCTTTTGATTTCCTCTCAAACCAGGTTCTGTACAGAATGACATAGAATTCCCTTGCCCACGGACCAATTGGTGCTTGTACCTGTTTAACCTGATACATGGCTTGCAGGGCTTTAATGCCATTTTGAACAATATTTCAGAAATATCATGAAGTGTCAGTTTGGCCAGAAGCACTTAACAAAAAGAGTATGACAAGATGTCTGTATCAGAGGAAAGTGAATAAGAGTGTGTTCACAATGTATCTTGTCTTGCCATAACGTTCGATTGATTCACGGCCAATGAGGTGTCTTTTTTTCTATATCGTTTTCAATACAATTGCAGAATAGATCAGGTTGACTTCAGGTAGAGTGAGCATGTTGGATTCTTACTGTTATGTCTGCATTGTATAGGAGGAGAGGAAGTGTGGAAGGAGAGGCAGAGCGTGGGAGGAGAGGCAGAGCGTGGGAGGAGAGGCAGAGTGTGGGAGGAGAGGCAGAGTGTGGGAGGAGAGGCAGAGCGTGGGAAGAGAGCCAGAGTGTGGGAGGAGAGGCAGAGAAGTGGAGGAGAGGCAGAGTGTGGGAGGAGAGGCAGAGTGTGGGAGGAGAGGCAGAGCGTGGGAAGAGAGGCAGAGTGTGGGAGGAGAGGCAGAGCGTGGGAGGAGAGGCAGAGTGTGGGAGGAGAGGCAGAGTGTGGGAAGAGAGGCAGAGCGTGGGAAGAGAGGCAGAGAAGTGGAGGAGAGGCAGAGCGTGGGAGGAGAGGCAGAGTGTGGGAGGAGAGGCAGAGTGTGGGAAGAGAGGCAGAGCGTGGGAAGAGAGGCAGAGCGTGGGAAGAGAGGCAGAGAAGTGGAGGAGAGGCAGAGTGTGGGAGGAGAGGCAGAGTGTGGGAGGAGAGGCAGAATGTGGGAAGTGAGGCAGAGCGTGGGAGGAGAGGCAGAGTGTGGGAGGAGAGGCAGAGCGTGGGAAGTGAGGCAGAGCGTGGGAGGAGAGGCAGAGTGTGGGAGGAGAGGCAGAGCGTGGGAAGAGAGGCAGAGTGTGGGAGGAGAGGCAGAGTGTGGGAAGAGAGGCAGAGCGTGGGAGGAGAGGCAGAGCGTGGGAAGAGAGGCAGAGCGTGGGAGGAGAGGCAGAGCGTGGGAGGAGAGGCAGAGTGTGGGAGGAGAGGCAGAATGTGGGAGGAGAGGCAGAGTGTGGGAGGAGAGGCAGAGTGTGGGAGGAGAGGCAGAATGTGGGAGGAGAGGCAGAGTGTGGGAGGAGAGGCAGAGAAGTGGAGGAGAGGCAGAGTGTGGGAAGAGAGGCAGAGAGTGGGAGGAGAGGCAGAGTGTGGGAGGAGATGCAGAGTGTGGGAGGAGAGGAAGAGTGTGGGTGGAGAGGCAGAGAGTGGGAAGAGAGGCAGAGCATGGGAGGAGAGGCAGAGCGTGGGAAGAGAGTCAGAGTGTGGAAGGAGAGGCAGAGCGTGGGAAGAGAGGCAGAGTGTGGGAGGAGAGGCAGAGTGTGGGAGGAGAGGAAGAGTGTGGGAGGAGAGGCAGAGCTTGGGAAGAGAGGCAGAGTCTGGGAGGAGAGGCAGAGAGTGGGAGGAGAGGCAGAGTCTGGGAGGAGAGGCAGAAAGCTACTGAGAGGCTGATGACTGAATCAGCTGGTTGGAGAGCTTAGAAAGAAAGACCGGATTGCAAGACAGATGACTGACTTGGTTGGGGAACTCACAGTATGACTGACCTGGTCGAGAGGCTGACACTAGAGACACACCTGGTTGAGAGACTGACACTAGAAACACACCTGGTTGAGAGAGAGACTGACACTAGAAACACACCTGGTCGAGAGGGTGACACTAGAGACACACCTGGTTGAGAGACTGACACTAGAAACACACCTGGTTGAGAGAGAGACTGACCTGGTTGGGGAACTGTCTGATGCTCTCCACCAGGTACTGGTAGGACTTCCAGTCTCCAGCTATCAGCTGCCCCATCACGGGAATCACTTGGAAGGAGTAGCTGTCATACAACCTGCAAGCACAATAACCGATACAACTCACATAGGACCAGAACAATCATTCAGCGTAGGGTATTTACATAAACTGTCCACAAAACAGTGTTTGAAATCCAGATTATAGTCTCACTTACAGATCCCACAGCATATATTCAGAATAACAATCACCCCATTCTCAAGCAGCCTATATGTTAAAGATAAATCACGACTCTGAGGTTTTGCTTGAAAATGTATAACCGCGAGTGAGGGAAAAGCCTGAGGGTCATAGGCCCTAGCTTGAGGTTTTACATTTTCAACCAAACCCTAAGAGTGTTTCATCCAACTTATTAACTGTCAAAATGCAAGAAATACTAGAAAAAAACAAAAAAACATTAAGATACCTTATAGCAAAACAGTACAGTGTGTCGCGGTATAAAAGAAATTCGATCAAAGTGTGTGAGAGAAATACCATGTGCAGCATGCACACAACTGAAGTCACAACTAAAATCTTGGTCAAATGTAAAACCTGTGAGCAGGTCTCACTTGAAGGTAGTACCTGAGTCTCACAAGGTTGTTATGAGACAAGAAGATACCTACAATACAATAGGCAAAAGTGGCAGTAGGTTTATAATCCCATTCTCAGCTCTAGCAGCCTATACTCATCCCCTTCTCAGCTCTAGAAGCCTATACTCACCCCCTTCCGGGCTCTAGCAGCCTATACTCACCCCCTTCTCAGCTCTAGCAGCCTATATACTCACCCCCTTCTCAGCTCTAGCAGCCTATACTCAACCCCTTCTCAGCTCTAGCAGCCTATACTCAACCCCTTCTCAGCTCTAGCAGCCTATATACTCAACCCCTTCTCAGCTCTAGCAGCCTATACTCAACCCCTTCTCAGCTCTAGCAGCCTATATACTCAACCCCTTCTCATCTCTAGCAGCCTACACTCATCCCATTCTCAAATCTAGCAGTCTATACTCATCCCATTCTCAAATCTAGCAGCCTATACTCATCCCAGTTCTAGCAACCTCCTATACTGACATCACGTTTTCAGCTCCAGCAGCCTATACTCATCCCAGCTCCAGCAGCCTATACTGACATCCCATTCTCAGCTCCAGCAGCCTATACTGACATCCCATTCTCAGCTCCAGCAGCCTATACTCATCCCAGCTCTAGCAACCTCCTATACTGACATCCCATTCTCAGCTCCAGCAGCCAATACTGACATCCCATTCTCAGCTCCAGCAGCCTATACTGACATCCCATTCTCAGCTCCAGCAGCCTATACTCATCCCAGCTCTAGCAACCTCCTATACTGACATCCCATTCTCAGCTCCAGCAGCCTATACTAACATCACATTTTCAGCTCCAGCAGCCTATACTCATCCCAGCTCCAGCAGCCTATACTCATCCCAGCTCTAGCAACCTCCTATACTGACATCCCATTCTCAGCTCCAGCAGCCTATACTAACATCACATTTTCAGCTCCAGCAGCCTATACTCATCCCGGCTCTAGCAACCTCCTATACTAACATCCCATTCTCAGCTCCAGCAGCCTATACTCATCTCAGCTCCAGCAGCCTATACTCATCCCAGCTCTAGCAACCTATACTAACATCACATTTTCATTTCTAGCAGCCTATACTCTTCCCATTCTCTAGCTCTTGAAATTCACAAATTAGGGGTTCCTTAACAGCAGAGGGTTTCATTATGGAATGATATTGATTTAACCTTTTTGATAACCTCATTTCAGGGACTTAACATTAGTCTATCAAGGAGGGGGAGAGGGCGGGCCTCACAGGGGCCCATGAGAGCTTCTCCTATAGTAGTTTAATCAGTAGGAACCCTGTAAATCTACTGTTAAAACTTTGACATGACGGTTATTTGAAGGACCCCTTGACTTTCATGTTTAATTTCAAACACTGCAAAAGGAACAGAAAAATAAGGTCGCCTTGATCCCATGAAGAGAAGAGTAAGAACAGGTCCCCAGCACCCATTGCTGGTGGTGAGAGGAGACTACACTGTTTTGTTTGTTTGTTTGTTTTTTCACCTTCAGCAATATTCCATCTAAATGACGATGGGTTGTGAATAATTGAGTCAGGACTAGACAATCCAGTGACTGCTGAATGCCAATTCTAACCCGGAATCTTCAAGAGACAACTAATGGTATCAGCTGATCAGGTAATGAGACTATGAGTTAGCTGATTGTGTGTCATCGTTACCAAAATCCCAATCTCATTTAAGTCAGACCTTAGTACCTGCTACTGCTAAACAAAGATCTGAAGACATCCCATTATGGGTCACGTCAGGACGACCTTTCATCTGACCAACCAGAGCGTCGCTTTCCAGATTATGAAAGTGACAGTCGGAATGTGATTTCTAATCACGCAACCGGGGCGAACCCACAATCATAGGTTTCTGGCGTGCCCAAGGGACGCAACTTTGCACAGCGAATCGCAGCGCCTTAGATGACTGAGCCACCCGTGCTCCCCACTGCTTAGAAAGAACAGCAGTGAATGTTCAGGTGTAGGAGTTGCTGGGCTGGACTGTGTTATCTCAACTTTGGGAATAACTCAGTTCTTCCACAGTAGGTTTATGAGATCTGACACAAGTATCTAATCGCCATTGGGTTCCCAAGATTATGTTTATTTCAAGAAATACATAAAATAAGACTGGTGTTCAAACAGCAGTATGTACGGCTGCTACTGCTAGGGGTCATCTCATATTTAGAAAAGCTATTAACTGAGGACTTATCTGTCCCAGGCACTTAACTACGCAGTGGATAGGGGCCATGTTATCAAAGGTGGGGGCAGACTGTGAACAGTCCTTTTTTCAAAATAACAAGGACAAGTTATGATAAGAGGCCTTAAATTTGGAACAAGCAGTGTTTGAAATAAAGCATGATAGTCAAGAGGTCCAAGTCAAAACCCAAATGTTCAAAGTTAAAGATTTAGGGGTCCCTAGACTTAAATACCATAGAAGACATCAAGGTTTACCAAGGACACTCCTTAACTTTGGCTGACTGTTTGTTGTTTAACTCATTCTAGCAATCCAGTGACAATATGAGCATCTATATACGCAGTTGGGATACAATGTCATGCATCAACCAAGTCTGCAAGCCTAACCACCCAATCTCGTTTGAAGACTCTTGCAATAAAACATGGATCGCTGAAGGCCAATTCTAACCCGGATCTTTATGGGGTTCTTAAATTTGAACACAGGATATGCATTATTTACGATTTTATTTTGAAAGATATCAGATAAGTAAATATGAATGAGAGTTAGACTTTATCCACGTCAACAAATGAATGTTTTGGGCATGACAGAAATATTGTATGTTTAAAGTTCTTCTGGCACATCCTTTAGAATCTAAGTGCGCCGACAACAGAACAAAAAGAAATACTTTTGATCCATCTTCAAACTAAGGAAAATGTCATTTTCCCATGAGGTAGATAACTTACAAACTTAGCCCCTTCCCTTTCACTGACATTTACGGGCAATGGATTAGTCTAGTGGTAAAAGCGTTTGCTAACCAGGCCGAAGACCCTGGTTCTTTCCCCACATTTACGTATAACGAGTGAAGCCCATTAACGGTGTCCTCCGCCGTGATATTGCTGGAATATTGCTAACAGTGGTGTAAGACCATGCTCACTTACTCAGATTTACATACTTTCGTCAATTGCTGAATCCCAAGCTTGTTCATGTTTATTTCATGTGTACATTTACAAGCACAGAAGAACACTTATCACTGACTTCATACACTAAACATCAGCACAAGGCAAGGTAGACACAATTTTATGGATAACAATTTCTTTAATACTGTAAAAAACGACGTTTCGGTATAGATCCTTATACCGTTGTCAAGCATCCGCCAACTTCTAAGTGATGCCTAACAGTCTTGCTTGATCTATACTGAAACATTGCTTTTTACAGTATTAAAAAAGTTGTTATCCATAAAATTGTGTCTACCTTGTCATCCGTCAACTTCTAAGAAATGCCAATCAAACAATTTATCAACACAAGGCACTGTATAGTTTTGCAAGCAATAGTTTCATGTCACAGCTATTTTTGCAGACCAATCAGGCATTTTTCTTTTATTGACTTCCACACATTGTCAAACCAGCCATTAGGATGAAATAATCCCTCACATGCTGTTTCCCTAATTACACACTGTCTCTCAGTGTCACCACACTGATCAGGAACATGCACTGACCCGCCACATCGGGTCAAGTTGCTCACGTAACAATGAGTGTCCCTGACATACACCGGAGCCTTATAAAACTACAGTTAGATAAACACGCTACTCCATTCTTCCTTGTCCACTACAACATCGGCATCTATAGATTACAAAACACTGACTGACACAAAGTAACCTTTTGTCACACCACTTCCTAGTCGTAAAAAATAAGACATCCAAAACAACACGTGCAGAAGTAGCCTTGATCTTTGGTTATATCAACAGGATGTAGCATACTTTCCAGCTGCAGTTAAGGTTATAAGCGATATGCAATAATTTTATGGCGCAAAGTATAAATACAGTATTTACAGTAAAAATTTACAACAATGGATTCTAGGGGTATAGCCATGCCATTACTATTGTGACCATGCCGCTGGCACTCTAACAAAGGGAATGTTGAACCATGTCAGACTATGCTCATCTCTCACCTAACAAACATATTTGCATCAATTCTGCCCAGACCTGTCCCTGATGAAGACAATATTATCTACGAAATGATATGAACCCACAACGCCATTTAGAAAGTGGTAAAATGTAACATATGTTATATCTGGGATAACACTTTCTTAGTAAAGTACAGATTCTCATATTTTTTTGAGGTTGAGTCCCAACCAGAATTCAAACTCACACTGCCAGAGTGAGACATCTAATCGCCAGCACACAAAGTCCGCGAATTAACCCACTCAGCCACCGAAGCTTTCACAAAAATGAAAGTCCTACAACTGATAGTCTAGATCACATACTTTGTGTACCCCTCTGACAAGTGTATATTGGCATGGCTCCTATGGCCGAAAGCTATGAACA